TCCAGTTTTTCGTTTCTTTTCTCACTATTAGATGGTACTAGCATTGAATACGAAACGATTTCGGAACCAGAGGCGGCAGGATACTGCTTTGCTGGCAGCTCCGGAGAACTCGTCCAGAGAGGCTGCTAGGTCCTTACCCAGGATGTTCTCCATGTTTTTTTTTGTTTTTCTTCTCTGGCGATTTACTTAGCGACTATAGCTTTGCAAATAAACGCCATTACCCACAGTACCAATCGCTGGTTTGTTTTTGAAGGCAAGTGGTACGACAAATTCCCCAAGACGTATAGAATTAAAACACCTAGCAATACAGATTTCTGCACCCCTAAGCAGGCGCTGCTAGAGGCCTTTTCTAAGAATGGTATCTCTATCGAATTGTAACTTAGCGACCCGGACGCCCACAGCGCCCGCCCGCCCACAAATGTCCGACCGATGCTGATGCTCGTATCGCTTCATTTGTGAAGTACAGTATGAAGCGAAGGGATTGATATGAAGCGGCTGCGGTGCTGCATGGATATATGAGTACATACATGCAGCGTATCTACCGTAGCGGTTATTGGCACGATGCCAACGGGAAACTCGTCCGAAATTGCTTCCTGAGTCGTGAAGAACAGAAGCTTCTTCTCAGGTTTTTGACCTTTCCACTTCGCTTTTCGCCATTTTACCACCATACAGCACCCCTGCTACATTTTTGACTGAGTATCAAATCATCGTGCATATTTTCAAGTAAAAATGAAGTTTTGAATAACTCAAAGGAAAGCGGACGAATAGCAAATGAGAATGTCAAGGGACTAGCGAAGAAAACCAAATGTTCCGTTGTGTTAGCTGTACTTTTTGCCCTAAAATGTTTCTTAGACATCACGACTCAATGCGAAAACGTGGGCGTCGTTCCCGCTGTTGTATTTGCAATGATCAGGACGGTCGACCACGTTCCGTCGCTTTATTTCGCGATGACCTTTGGCCGAAAGCAATTACCGACTAGATCGTTGATCACATGAAAGTAAAACATTTGGGCGACCCTTTTCCTGATGGTAGGCTTTTCCGTGAGAGCTCCTAAGGAATGGTAAGAAAGGCTCCGCGTAACAAACCTGCTCGGAAATTCTAGAAGATTGCAAAGGATGGAAGCGTTACTGCCAAGTTAGCGACAAAGTTTTCTTGCAATTTTTGAGATCAATTTTCTGTTTCAGAACGAGTACGAGGTGAATTTATCCTATTATTCTCTACTGAAGGCTTATGCAGATTGCGCAGGCTACCTTCAAAATACAGTCTGGCGCGAAACAACCCAGGACGTCAACTCGAGTTCAACTTGAATAGAATAAGACTCGATTTTGGCTGAAGTACGTCTTCGAATTGACCCCCAACCCTTGAATTAATTCAATTAAATAATGAATAACCGGCCTTCGAAAATGAATCCATTGAAAATAGAATATGGAACGATTACAATAAACTTCTTGTAGGCCATAACACTACTTAGCTGGACAACTGGTTTGAAGTTTCCCCATTCAAGTGAAGAGTCTAGTGGAATGCCAACCAGAATTAGAAAGCGGCAATTCTCTGTTTATACGATGGATTAGAGATTGCTGCCCAGCAATATTCCATGAGCTACAACTTGCCCTTTCTTGCGAAGTGTGGTCTGGATGGCGCTGCCATGCTGGAAGTAACAGGCAAATGACCCCTCCCATCAACTATTGCCTCAGATCTTGATGTTGCTTTAATGAGTGTGTTAGTAGTGCTTCGTCCAGTAGCTACACAAGCAGCAGCTCTCTCAAGACCTGTGAAGTCTCGTGAGCCACGATGTAATACCAGTCAAAGTTTGTAGAGACCAGCAGTCACCTCTAGTAAAGTCATGAAATACCATACAAATACCATTCGCCGTGGTAGCTCGACGAGCTTGCTCAAGTATCGCAAGCGTCTCACCACAAAGAGATTTGTAAACCGCAACTAGTGAGGCAGCGAAAGTGCATAATGCACCCCTCCCCAAATTGCGCGATTGCATCACTTCGTTCTCTTTTATGATTCAGTCAGAGGGATAGCAGAAATGTACCAGGTTGTGCGGGCGCTGTTAGCCTTAGGTAAAACTGTTCACGAAATTGCGGTGAGGAGATACGTAAAAGCTCTTGAGAATCACAAGTAATAGATCTTACCAAAGTATGAGCAAGTACTTAAGTTCAAAAAATAAAATAAAACTCTCCCGCTTAGCCTGATAACCTACCACCTTGCGAAATGAGAGTGGAGTAAGTTACTTCCTAAACAGTGAACATCATTGTTTGGGAATCCACATCAGGGGGAGGGCTTTCCTTCAGTTCGTACTTGGTGTGCTGAAAAGGTATGCATTCATGGGACTGGGAATGGAGTGATTTACGTAGGTTGGGGACTCTTCTTTTTTCTACTTTTGATACGCATATAATTTAACCGCGGACCAAACCCCAGATGGGCTCCTGCATAGCCCAAATTGGCCTTGTACCTTTCAGTACGGTAAATTGGTGCCAGCTTCGTCTGGAGAGGAAAATAAACTGACTTGTGCATCTACTGGTCCCGCAAGTCATTGTATGGGCCACATCGCATTTAGTAAGGTCACTACAATTCTGACTGGAACTCGTGCCTCATACCCAAAAAGAACCGCAAAAAAGGCTCCAGCCTTCGCATTTCATTATTTAATTCGATCTGTTTCGATGGAATATTCTGGGCAAGGGATTACAGCTAGTGAAATTAGGTCTCTTGGGCAAGTTGTGAAGGGGTCACACCGTCAGTGACGCTTTCGCATCTATAACTTCCTAATTTTTTCCCGGTTCTGATATTCAGTTTACTCCTGGGAATTTATAAGACTTGGACATGCGAGTAAACAGGTATGGCACCGTTATGCCATGAGGCCGTGAGTACAGTAGGCAAAGTAAATCTATGATGGGGCCAGTCAAGAAGGGATGAGCTTGGCGTGGCGTCAGCCTGCTTTTATTTTTTTTCGGCGAGACAGCATATTTTCATATCTTTCGTACAAACCGCTTTCTTCTGGTGTTCTTCACCTGCTTCAACAGCTAATGGCAAACGGGTTGGAGGCGCGCCAAAACTGATGCGTCCCTTCACCCGCAGCGAACAAGACTGCAATAGAGGAGGAGATCAAACATTAATGTGATAAAAAGATAAAATCAAAAACGATCCTGCTACTCTCACTATGACACTAACAGTCTAATTCTTCGCCTACTGTTCTCTGAACAAGCTATCAGGAGACAGTCCTCATTGAGTCTCCGAAGTCAGGCCAGGGGTTGGACCCAATGGTGGCGGTTTATGGACCACTACCCGTGGAGTTGGACCACAAAAGTTTATGCTGTATGGAAAGTTATCAATGAGTGGAA